AAAAATAAAACCCTTAAAAAAATACTCAGTTAGACTACAAGACAAAGACTTTTTTAATTTTATTTTTTTTCGAAATATATTTTAAACACCAACCATTATTTTAATAAAAAAAAAGGAAATAAAACATTAATCTTTACTTTTTTTTTTAACCAACCGAAACGGTTAAGAAAATAGATAAAACGCAGAGTTTCTGCAACTGAAGCCCGGCCCATATAGGCGCATCTCGTCGTTCCTGGCGATCGAAGACGGCGACCTAATTCACTAAAAAAAGGGAAGACGGCGAGGTAGCCGCCGAGAACCGGAGTTAGGGTTTCACTCATCTGTATCAGAATCGAAGAACAAAAAAAATGGTTGGTACGTAATTAATATCCTTCGAATTCCGTCACCATCTACCTCTGTTGCTTCAATTTCTGATTAATTTGTCTTTCGATTTCATTTTCTGGTATCGGCTGTTCAGGTTCAGGCGCACCGTCCGAGAGGGAAGACAAGGTTTCCTTGGAACTCACGGAAGAAATTCTTCAAAGCATGGAAGTCGGCACGCTCTTTAGCGACTATGTAAATTCTATTCACTAACGGATTCTATTTAGATGAATCCTGTTTTCTTCTTCACTCTAATTTTGCATTTCAATTGCTGTTTACAGAACTGCAGAATCAGTTCAATGGATTTTCACAAAACGTCTAGTTATCTGGTCACTGCTAGTGATGATGAATCTATTCGCCTGTATGATGTTTCTAGTGCAACGTAAGCCATTATTTATTTCATGAATTTTTTGCCTTCATTTCTTTTTGATTCTGTTTGATTCTTAGTATAATGTATTATCTTACCAATTTTGAATATTGAATTTTTTTTGTAGCTTACTCAAAAATTTATTTCCTTTCTTTTTGTTTTCTTGAATTAACAAGACACTTAATGCATTGCCAGATGTTTGAAGACGATTAATAGCAAAAAATATGGGGTTGATTTGGTTTGCTTTACATCTCATCCTACAACAGTTATATACTCTTCAAAGAATGGCTGGGATGGTATGCTATCAAGGCAATTGGTGTGTATGGGGATGTTTGTCTGAATTGTTTTTGGTTACTTATGGAATTTCTTCCTTTCAGAGTCCTTGCGGCTTCTGTCCTTGCATGACAACAAGTACTTGCGATATTTTAAAGGTCACCACGACAGGTTTGGTTTTTGGTCTTGGTTGACATCTTATCCATGTGCATATGAAATAACATGATGTGACATTTTTTATTTTGTTTCTGCTATTGTTTGTAGGGTTGTTTCGCTTAGCCTTTGTTCTCGCACTGAATGCTTTATATCTGGTTCTCTTGATCGAACTGTTTTACTCTGGGATCAAAAAGCTGAGAAGTGTCAGGTGAATACTGAATAACATGTTTGGATTCTTTCGTAAATGCGTTCCTGTTTCCCAAGTCCCACAAAATTTCTAAGTCATGTATGCTTGGTATTCTAGGGTCTTTTACGCGTACAGGGAAGGCCTGCCACAGCATATGATGAGCAGGGGCTTGTTTTTGCAATTGCCTTTGGAGGATATATCAGAATGTTTGATGCTCGAAAGTATGAAAAGGTTAGCATCTGATTTGTGAGAAGTGGGGTTTAGCTGTTCTATGGATATTTATTTTGTTTGTTAGAATTTTAAGAAGAAAAAGGGGTATGTAATTGACTAATGTTGGGGACTTATAAGTTTAATTGATGTCCTTGTATTGAGAAAGGCACATCTAATGCTATGATTTAAATCTGTTCAGGGTCCTTTTGACATTTTTTCTGTTGGGGGAGATGTATCTGATGCTAATGTTGTAAAGTTCAGCAATGATGGAAGACTTATGCTTTTGACAACAATGGATGGCCGTATTCATGTTCTTGATTCATTTCGAGGCACACTTGTAAGTTAATTTCACCTTGAACAATTTTTTTTTCTTTTTTGCAAAATCTCCCTTATAACTTTATTGATAGAGATCTTGATAGATGGCCCATCTACACTTGCTTTTGTCATTTAAAAACATATTTCTTTGTCATTGTTGTTTTTAGCTGTCCACATACAATGTGAAGCCAGTTTCTAGCAATTCCACAGTAGAGGCATCTTTCAGTCCTGAAGGAATGTTTGTAATATCAGGTACTGTATCCTCTAAGATTAGAGTAAATTTCCCGGGTAACAACAATTTCAATATTTTGATACCTTCTTCTCTTCATTTCATTGTATCTTGTACTGTTCTTGTTGCATTTTTATGTTTCGGGGAAGAGTGGTGAGCACCATTCTGTTGATACTATAAATCACAACTGCCTTGATATATGAGGCCTCAAAGACAACATGTCGTGGAATCCTTGTCATATGATCCATTTAAGCCCAAAAGCCAAAAAAAAAAAAAAGAAGCTGACTTTTCTGATATATTGGTCATCTGACTTTTCTGTCAACCCATATTTCCCCTATAAAAAACCACCCTACAGTAACCCACCAACTTATATAATACAATAAGGATGAAAAGTCCAAATATGATATTCTTCTTAGTTTCAATGGGAAAATTTAGCTGCTGACCGCTTTGCTAATTGGAGTTTTGTGGTGTCTGACATTTTGGCAGGATCAGGAGATGGTACTGTCCATGCTTGGAGTGTAAGGAGTGGGAAAGAAGTATGATTTTCTTGATTCTTAATGGACTGCTCTCTTTCAATCCCATTTCAGTTTTTCTGGTCATATGCATTGGTTTAGGATTATCTGCAGGCACCATGGGTAACATTGGTCTGTTCTCTTCAGGTTGCAAATTGGCTGCTTTATGACATTGAACCTCCTGTGATAAAATGGGCTCCTGGAAGTCTTATGTTTGCAACTGGATCTACTGAGTTATCTTTTTGGATTCCAGATCTGTCTAAATTGGCAGCTTATGTTGGAAGGAAGTAGAACTTCCATTGCTACACCCTTGCAATTCTACGTCTGAAAGTCAAGGTTGATACTTATACTGAGAAATAACTGTTTCTTTCACTTTCACCTCTTAGAGTATCTAGTGTACGGGGTACCCGTTAAACAGCCTTGGTGCATTTGTCAAGGTGATAATATCCATGATCTCTGTTGTATTCCACCATGCCATCTACTAACACGTAATAATTTCTGCACCTTCATCATCTCTATCTTTTATAAGCATTTCAATTCCCTGTTACTTGGGGGACTGTTAATCACATTCTCTTATTGATCAATCTGTGTTATCTTAGCATCCAGTAGATTTTATGCTGATCATCTATTCAAAATGTAGGGACTCATAAAGATGAAGATTGAAGGGAAACCTTCACTTTCTCCATGATTTGACTTTAAATAGAATTTTATGGACGAATGCAAAGTGGTGTCTAAAAGAAGCAAACTTTAGGGTCCTTTGACATCATTCAACCATTCAGCAGTTGGGGTCCTTGGAGGTGAGATATTATACTCAATGTACTCTTACGCAAGAGAATTCTGCAGGGAATGGGGCTCTGAAGATAAAAATACCCACATATGTGCGTATGTATACAAAACAATTTATGTACAAAGCGCACGAGTCCGTTGGAAAGGCTCCAAAATACAGCAGCATTCATCAAAATGGCAAGCAAACCAACTTCGTCTGAGCCATTGGAGCACTTTCAGGAGAGCAAGATAGCTCACGACTTGAGCATGATGCTATTCATGACTCACTTTTTTACTAGTATCAGACATTACGTACTTGTGGCCTCAGAAAGCTTTTGAGATCTTGTTTGGATCTACAACTAAATCTCTCTTCGGATGTATATGAGATCTTCATTCGGTTTTCTCTCTCTTACAGCCCTTAATGCCTAAAACACATTGGGGTCAGTCTCATGCTATAAAGTGCGAAAATGTGTCAAACCAAATAAAGAAAATGGATCCACCCTATATCTTGGTGATGGGGACTGTTTGAAGCACCTCATGATGAACCTCTAAAAATAGGGGGAAAACCCCCACTTTGGCCATTGAACTAACAGCTTGTTTCAAGCCAGCCATCCAAGTATAAGCAGTCTCAATTTGGTGCTCAAACTTTTTGGAACCTCATGATGAACCTCTAAAAATAGGGGGAAAACCCCCACTTTGGCCATTGAACTTACAGCTTGTTTTAAGCCAGCCATCAAGTATAAGCAGTCTCAATTTGGTGCTCAAACTTTTTGGAATGCATTAAGATCATTTATTTTTAATGCTATTTGAGAACACTCATTTGGAGGGCTTTGTCAAGAAGTTTCTGCAAGCTTGATGCCCAAAGAAGGGTTTTTTTGAAGTGGAAATTTATTTTGCAATTCAAATTGTATCAAAAGGCAAAACATGAATTTTGAAATGAGAAGTAAGTTGTATTATGAATTCTAATCAAAATAAAGATAATTTATTATAGTTTAAACTCTAAAACAAAGAAAGAAGGCATATCGGCCTAATGATTCAACAGTTTAATGTAAACTTTTTTCACCATGACAAGAGTTCAATATTCCTCTTCACCCCTTTTCCCTTAAACCACTTGCCTTAAAAAAAAATAAAAATAAAAAATAAAAAACGGACTCTTTAGGAAATGAGGACAAGAAATCAATAATTCAATACATTTTCTGAACTGTCCAGATGTGTTGGGAAACGCACACATGCCATTGCCTGTGGCTAAACAGATTCAAGTGGGCCTTTTAAAACAGAGCACACAGAACAGGCCCGTCGGCCCATTCAGAAAGTTTGAAGGGTCAATCGAATAATTTTTGGTGTTTTCGATGAGGGAGAGGTGCAAACTTCAAAATATATACCTTTCTTTCAGACTTTTCACCATAACGGCCGGAACATGCCACACAGTAGCTCTCACTTTTCCTCTCTTTTCCTACACACACCTTTTTCACCAAATGATCTCTCCTGCTATCATTGGTATATCTTTTATTTGGTATAATCTTTTATTTTCCCCCATGTAAATAACACCTTCATAACATACCCAAAAACAACTCCCCCCATGTAAATTAACATTAACCCATTTCAATTTTGGCCTAGCTCTCTAGAAATAGACGTTGGATGATGGCAGTTTTCTTGGGTAAAAAAGTTTCTTGCAATTTGACATACACAAATTGCATATATAAAAGCCCCACGCTTAGTGAAACTTTTGTATCAGCTTAAGTGAATTGCACAACAAATATTATTTGTTTTATTTTTAATTGACTCTATTGCCACATGCGGTATGCTAATATTTCTAGACAAACACATGGTTAAAGAAACATGATTACCAACCATATTAAGTTCATTGCATGACACACGTCAAGTTCAGAACAGCTTTGCACTTACACTAAACCATTAACTTTAGGACATTGATTAAAGCCATAATTAGTAACTAATTCTAACAGACATAAAATATAGTAATTAATTACGAGAGGGGATTTTCAGATGGAATCATGTGATCTGTAGGAGTTGAGGCTGAGCTCAAGTGAAGCACGAGAACCATTGTTGCCGTCACCAGCCCTGTACCAGCTGCCAGAGTAGCCGCAGCAGCTGTCAGGGTCGGACTTGACGTTGCAAAACCCATTCATACCTTCACCCCGGATGGGGAACAGAGGGAGGGTTTCAATCTGCGGACCACCTTCTTCTTCTTCTTCTTCTTCTTCGTCTTCTTCTTCATCTTCTTGTTCTTCATCCAGGGCTCCATGCAGTGATTTTCTCTTCTCAAAAAAGCTGCAGGAGGAATAGTACGGATCGATCCCGACCCATCCATGGCTGATGGACACTTCATTAGTATTACCTCCACTTGATGATATTGAACAATCCTGGTTTAGAAACAGAGAAAGAGTTTTACTTTCATTTTACTATATTTGAGGGGAATTGTAATGAATTCATCCCTCTCCTGAGTTTGGCTTGAAATAAGAAAAGTTTGCTCCGTGTTTGGACATTTTACAAGAATGAAACTGAAATGGGTTCTTTCTGTTTATGTAGATGTTTCAAAAGATCAAAGACTAGTCTTATTTAGGATGGCCCCCCATTTTTTCTGTTTCACCAGAAAACAGTTCAAGTTAAGATTTCAGTACATTTCAATCCACTCACATGGGTCTATCTTTTTTTGTGTAAATTGATTAATGTCTTCTAGTTCTAAAAAAAGTAATTGTTTCAAAGATGGCACCTTTTTCATTTAGTTTAAATCATCACTTACCCTAAAACTCTTCTCCATGGTCCCAGATCCATACCCATAATTTCCCATCTGTCCCACGGGAAGGACACCAGCTGAGGAAGAAGATGCAAGAGAATACCCTGAAAATCAGAGACACCTATGTCAGGAAAAGGATGAAACTTTAGAAATGATGGAAAATATTAAGGAGAAGAGGAAGTAGGAGAAGACCGGTATGATTTATGCTGGGAGACTTGTTTGAATGAATAAGGGGATCCTCAGGTTTCCATGAAGCATTTGCAACAGAGGATCTTTGCATGGGGACATCAGAGGAAGTGGTGAATCTTTTCTTCTGTCTCTCACGAGCTTTGTGGTTCTGAAACCAATAAAACACATTCTTGCCTTCAATCTTACCGTACTGTCTCAGCCTAGCAGAGATCTTCTGTATCTGTTCTGCACTTGGGGACCTCACTCCATTGTTGTAGTAAAGTTCCTTGAGTATTCTAATCTGGTCAGTGGTGGGAGTCCACCGTGTACTGCTTTGCCTGCAAAGAAAGCTTCCACCTTTGCAACTGCCGCCACTAGCATCTTCATTAGCTGGCTGTTGTTGAGGATCCATGACGGATTGAGGAATGGAAGAAAACAAAGAGAAGAAAACAAAGGCAAAAGAGTAAGTTAGGTGGTGAGAGGAGGGGATGTGGGGGTATAAATGGGGGAGAACCACATGGAGGGGATATCAGAGAAATATCTGAGAGAGAAGGACTGAAGTTGACAGAGCAATGTTCATAAAAAGGGAAGGGACAAAAGAGGGCTTGAAAAGTGAGGGTAGCAGTGGAATTACTTGGATGAAAAGGCATGAGGAAATATGAAAATATGAATAAGCAGAAGCCTTGAGACTTGAGAGAGAGAGGAGTAGAAGAAGAAGAATATGAGGGGGTGAAAGGATATATTTGATGGGAAAGAAAGAATGAATGAATGCCATAAAAATGATGTGTTGTGTGATTTAGAGTTCATGGGGGTTCATCTTTTAATGGGGATATGCTCCTGCTTTTGATCCAGTTCCAAAAACCAGACTACAAGATACTATTGTACTACAACCTTTCAAGGCATACAATGGGTAAAACAGTAAATTACTTATTTATTTATTTTTGTAAACTTCTATTAAATCATGGTGAAAGATGTCAAAAGGGCCTTGTGGGGTCGGAGAGTTCCTCTCCATCCCATCCTCCTGAATGGTCGGACGAGAATTTTTGCAAGAATTTTTAATTGGGGTAGATTTTGTCCTTCATCTCTATTCCCCACCAACTAATATCCAAATATATATTTTTTACATCAAACATAAATAAAAATTAATTTAACATAAATAATTAGTAAAAAAACATAAATGGTTATGGAGAAAAACAACAATATGTTTAACTTGGTCGAAAACAATAAGACATACATCCTAAAATCCTAATACTATACTACTTAACTTAAAATCCTAAAGTCTCTCTTTTACAATTACTGTATCTAGCATCATATTCTTTAGAAGATACTGGTTTAGATTCTTAGAGTATAATTGACTTATTGTACATTATTTTACAGGAATAATCAAAGGAGCATGTATTAAAAAAAAAGTATGCTTGTGTAAATCTGTGCATCCAAAATATGTAACTTAAAAAATTATATTAAATTTAAAATAAATATATTATTTTTTGCGGGGATGGGATCCCCATGGGACCCCACAAGACGGGAAAAATTCTTCACGAAATATCACGGGGGAAAATGCGCCCACCCATCCTTGTCTCACAAGAAAGAATATTTCTTCTTGTCCCATCTCCGTGGCAGGATCCTCACAGAACTCCACAAAAATTGGGGTAAATTGTCGTCCCTACTCGTGATAGTGCATGTGTTTGAACCTTTTTCTAAATTGGTGTGAAATTAAGGTTTTATATTAGTTTGTATACATGCCAACTCAACTATATATACTTATGATAAAATGGATGGGAATTTGAAGTAGCAACACCATTTCCTTTGAGTACCTGACCTTCTTAACTCGAAAATTACAAGTCATACTATAAGTATATTTCTAATTTAAATTTAAATTTTAGAATTTCTCACTCTAAAAAATTGTAATCATTTAAAAAAAAAAAAAAAAAAGCCTTCCCCTTTGGCCCTAGTAATCAACGACAAAAGAGAAAAGAGATAGGACAAGAACTATTTCCAACCTAATAGGGCTTTGATTGCCCTATATAACCTCTTTCACATTCCCTGTTAATAATTTCAGGGATTTACTGCACTTTGTTGTACAGTCTACCCTAGCTTGGGAGTTGGGACATGGGGGACCTCTTAGTTTTACATATATGCATATATGCATGCAGAATAAGAGCATAGAAGACATATGCTTTAATCCAGCAAGTACACCCTTGAAACAGGGTCAAGCTCAAAAGAATTTCACTTTCAACAAGCACTGTATCCTAAGAGCACCCCCCACAAAAATAAATGCAGATGCATTAAAGGCAGAAGATTCTAATTTCTAGGGTCATTGATCCAATCTCCACCATGCTTAAAAAGCCAGAAGGAAAGACAAGAAAGCAAAATTTCATGGGTTTGGTTAAATCTTTATGGTTACCAATTAGATAAATTATCTAAGGTTCTTTTTTATCCACCTTTTTGTTCTTTTCCTACCATCTATGATGAATTTTGTTTGTCTTGTATGGTGGAAGCCTGAAAAAGCTTCGTACAGAATGGAAGCAACCAAAATTTTCGTGGGAAATTGGTGTTTCTTGTTACTCACTCCGGAGCATCGATAAAGCCTTATGATTACTCCCCCAAAAAAGCTACTAAAAGAAAACTTGATCTTATTCTTTCTTTTTTTCTTGATAAATTTCATTTCAAGGGTTCCTTTTATCTCCTTGAATTCAATTTGCAAAAGGGGTCTCATTCCCCCTTTTCTTCAATTCTTTCTGACGGATTCAGTACTTATCTTAACTTTTCCAGATTGTGTTGTTTGTTTGATTATGACACAAGCATCATGAGGATTTCCTCTCCTTATCATGCATTTACATTGGGTTTTGTTGCTTACTCTCTCCATGTCTAAGTGGGTTTCTAGTCTTTCTTTCTTTCTTGAATAAACTTTTTTAGCCTTCTGCCTTATGCCAAATCCTGAGCTGCTTACCTCATAAAAAGTGGGCTACATGTATGTAGCCGTAGGAGTACACACCCTTTCTTTGGGGTAATCATCTTCTTACTCTTATTTTTCTCCCCAAATCTCTAAAGCTACATCACAGTATCATTCCATATCTTCTCTACTAGACTGCTACCAGTCTCATTTTCCTTTTTACTTTCTGCTTTCTGTCTTATTAATTCTAAGAAAGAGACTGCTAGTAACCCCACGGAGCTAACGCTAGCCACAATCTTTTCTTTTACCCCTTTTTTGATTTTGAAATGAGTGGTTTATTTATTTATTTTTGTGTAAAAGGGATTGGGTTAAATGAATTTCAAAACTCAAAAACTTACTAAGAATAGATATCCTTCTCATAGTATCATGAAATTATACATGTTTCAGACTGAAGTGTTAGTTTGCTTTCAGTTATCCTAATATGCTAGTTGTATCTAGTCCTATGGGTTGTTCTAGTGTGGACCCAAAATTTGATGGATTAAGGGTTTTGGGCATAAATGAGAATAGTCACTAGGACCACATAGCACCACAGACACAGTTGCTCCTGGATCAGATTTCTATTCCCTAGTGTTATTGGTTGCGCCTTGACTGGATCTCCAACTAGGGAGAAGAGTTCCACTCCCTTCAAGTATGAATTTTTGTTCCATGTAAATGTACCTGCAAAATTTGGCTTGGTTTGTTTGCAGATTACATGGGCAAATTTACAGCTCTACCTTCTCTTAAAGTATCATTTTTCCTTTCAATTCATGTCAACATGAAATATTGGGTATTGGCAACGTCTCGGCAAGGCCTTATATTAAGATAAGCCAGATAGGCACATCAACCTGCAAAGCAAGTGGTCAAGGCCACAAGCCCCCCTTGTGATCAACACCGGGATTCAAGGTTCCAATCCTACCCTTACCCCCTTAGGCCATATTTTTTTTTGGTTTCCCGCCTGGTATCCAAGGCTTCGCCCCAACTAATCCGGATCAACCCGGGTCGCGCACCTGTGAATGGTGGGTGAGTCTCCCAACAAAGGCTGCTGCGTACACAGTCTCGAACTCGAGATTTTGCTTAAGCTGAAACAAACCGTTTACCACTTGATCTAACCTCTCGTTGGTACCCCTTAGGCCATATTTTTTTTTGGTTTCCCGCCTGGTATCCAAGGCTTCGCCCCAACTAATCCGAATCAACACGGGTCGCGCACCTGTGAATGGTGGGTGAGTCTCCCAACAAAGGCTGCTGCGTACACAATCTCGAACTCGAGATTTTGCTTAAGCTGGAACAAACCGTTTAGGCCATATAGTTTTAAAATGTAATAACTACCTAATTCAAAAAAATATAATAATAATAATAAGATAATCCATGCAGAATATAGCTCCCAATGGAAATCTGATGACAAATCAATGCCAAATAAATTCCATCTCAAAACCATTATATGTGGTATGATTACTATATAAGTAACATCCTCTTGTACAACTTCAAAATATATCAGAATATCAATCAACACAGATGGGGAAGAGAAAAAATATAGAAGCTCTTACAGCTTTCCTTAAGTCAACAGGATGCTAATCCTTTGCTTATGGCACCGCAGCAATGCAATCCATCAAAAACAAGCAGCTTCAAACAAGGTTTCAGTCAATCATAGATCCCCAGCACTGCAGTGCTTCTAATATGAGATCCATCCAATTACGAATCCAATATGTAGCCATCACTTATTTATCTGAACATGGAATCAAACAATGACTTCCTAAAATTAAAAACATCTGGAATATAAATTTTGGCAGCCATCTTAACTCTTAAGTATAACTCCTAAAAGCAAGTACGAGAAACTCACCAAATATCCACTGCCTTGGCATCCCAGTAGCTCAGAGATATCTGCTGGGTAAGAATCATGCTAGGAAACCATTTGGCACATCTATAACAGTAATTCTATAGCCTTTCCAAACACTTAATGGACCATTATAATAGACAGATTAAAAATTAATACCCATAACTAAAACCAAGCAATCATTCAGCTCCCAAGACTCAACTTGGTCCTTCTCTCATTTGCAGTTACTCTTCTAGTCCGGTTTGAATAACGTGGTTCAGGTTCTTGCCTCTCATAGGAATCTATTACTCCCCTTGCTTCTGTTTTACCCCCCCTTCTAACCAGCTGCTTTCTTGTATGGCGATCAGATCTAGGTGAACTTATCTTGACCTTTTCTGCTTCATAGGATAATGGTTCAATCCCCTGCAAATCAGGTTCTGGAGCATACCCCATTGGCCGCTTTGATTCATCCATTCTCCTAAATGTGATTGATATCCTAAGTTGAAAACATAAGATGAGGGACACTAAGTAAATGGTAGTAACAAGTAAAAGCAAATCACAACCATACAATAAAATAATGTTAATTTTCAACCCATACCTTTTTGTAGGAACTGCAGGAACACAATGCTTAGCCACATCAGCACCATTTCCATTTAAAACAAGAACTGATCTGAAAGGAGCAAATGCTGCTGTTAAAAATTTTTAGTCCATACAACATATATAACTAATCTTCAAGAAGGCAAATAATGTTAGTAAGTCAAAAACAAGGGACCAACCATGCATAAAATGGATCTTACCCCACAGGAAGTGGAATTGCAATTGAACCACCAAATTCACCAGCACCCACAACCTTTAAGTTTGACCCAAAAACAACATTGCATTCACTAAGAAATGACACAGTACAAAATGGTCGAACAAAGTCATGGTTGTCAATGTGAGGAGGTATGTAGTCGCCTTCTTCATAAATATTGACAATACAACTGTCGGGAACACAAGTTGGTGGGATCACATGCCATCCAATAAGCCTTCTAATCATCACCTTAAAGAGATGAGGAATAGGATCTACAACTTCATCTTGAAGAATACCAGGTGGGTTGCCATTTTTATCCTGCCACCAGAACATAAACATCTTGAGCATAGTTTTCTTTGTCATAATAAATTGTTTCCAGATAAAAATAAAATAATTATCAATTTAAAAGATCAGCATACAGAAAAAACCTACTGTTGCATAGTTGTAACAGCAACCAAATTGGATAGTTACACGCCTTTTGCCCCTCTTCCACTTAGGTGGTTCTGTATATGTTCGTTCTGAAAACACATTTGCGGATATGTGTCAGTGTCCTTTAGATTTGGTTAGTTCAACATGATAAGAAACGCAAAAATATCATTATAAGATCTAGTGATTCACAAAAGGAAAATAACTAATTCTACATTTTTCCATCAAGAGTAAACGAAAATGTTGAACAAAAGGCAGAGCAAGAAATATATGTGCTAAACAACCACTTTTCGGGATTCACTGGATAAAAGAGCATGAGTACTCTAAATCTTATAGATTCAATCCATAGCCCTTAATGTACTAGAGGCTTGATCAACTCAGACTGTTTCTTCCAGAGCAAGCTGAAGTACCACAGACATAGCTCTCAAAACCTAAACATTATAACATAAACAGAGTCCACAAGGGGAAAGAAATATCATCACTAAGTCTACCCATCATTTTGCCATTTTATAAAATTGAGCATAAGTATTACATCAATAAGCCATAATTTGGCATAAGATCAAATCAGTAGGTACTGGGCACAAATTATGAGAGAAAAACTATATGGCACAATAAGGACTCATCAGCAGTGAAACCGGAATTTTGTATGCATTATTAAGTTCTATCTCCCTTATCACAATCAGCAAAAAAAGCATCAAAGAAAATTTAGCCACTCAACCAATCTTAACTCAAAATGATTTCCTAGACACGCACAAATAATGCTAACTCAAAAAAACATTTTTACTTTTCCAATCATGAAATGACGAGACACTGAGCCATCCAATTTCAATTTTCAAGAATATCTAAAGCATTTAAAAGCTTCAATCAGTTAATTCTAACACTTTAATGCTACAATGAAACAGGGAAAAATTCCATGCCAGCTCTATGTACATTCATTCTAGTGAGGCAAAGAGTACTGCAAAGATGCTGGCATACCACATCAGCAAGTGATGGTTTAAGTTAGTCAATGATTGAGGACTTGAGGTAAGCTAACAACTGGCATATATACCATGTAAAAGCAAGATGCATGCACCAAAGAAATAATACTTCATAACTACTTATCATTGAGGACATTGACAGACTAGATTTAGCAGAATGAGAAAACTAACCTCTTAATTCTCTCTTTTGTCCCATCCCCTGAAGCATATAAACATAGTTTACTATCCTCTTCTGCTCAGCTGCACTGAAAATTCCTGTATGAAGTTCAAGTCCCTCAAGAATGTTAACGAATTTTCCTCCTACTCTCTCAAGACAAATAAAATCTTTCTTCCTCTTCACATTCATAAACCTAATGTACTCCCTTTCATCCCTAGACAACTTAGGCTTCTCCACAACTTTAGATACCCTCAATTCTCTTGTGGAAGAGTTAAGATCGACCATGTGCTTGGTTGCTTCACGCTGTTGCTCTTCTACCTCCACAAGCTCATCTTCCTGTGCCATGTCTGCCCAAGACATACGAGGAGTTGGAGTCTCAACTGAGGGAGAGTTCCCAGTTACTCCACTAATGGAAGCTTCTGGCTTGGGTTCAGACCACCCATTTGGCTCATCTTTTGAACTTGCAGTCGAACTCACCTCACAATTATCATCACAAATCTCATTCAGCACCAACACCATGTCACTAGAAGTAGAAGGGGTTGCATTAGCATCTGAATTTGAAGGTTCTGCATCTTCTGCTGCATCCACATCACCACGTGCATTCTTTATTAGCAAACAAACGATAAAATTTATCCCAAAAAGGAAAAAAAAATCTAAATTTGAATCAGGGACATGCAAGATAACTAAGATGGATGCCTAAGCACAAACAAATAAAGAAAACCCAGCTAAATTCAGTTCTGTTTTTAGTATATAATAAAAATCTAAAGCCTAATTTTGTCCATGATGCAGAATTCAATGCACAAAAGCAACTAAAATTTAATGCCTCCAACATAATGAATGAAGAAGACATATATTGGCAAAAGGTTTTGCAAACGAATACCACACAATACCAAACCAAATGGATAGCGACACAATTCTAAACTAAAAATTGAAAACCGCCTATCCGGAAACAGATTTCCTCACTAGGTTTCCAAAATTTGAGGAGAAAAACTCAGGCAAAGTACCTGAGTGAAGAGAGAGGATGCGCTTGGAGAGCTTTTTCGTGCAGTGTTGACAAAGATCTCTGGACAGGAAAGGCAGCCACGTCGTCAAGAACTCCGATGCGACCTTCAATTCCGACGACTGGTACTGGATGAGAAACGGATCCTTCGAGTTGACTCCCTTGAGACCTTTCATTGCTTCGCCTTTCTCCGGTGATCCTTCAGACAGCATCTCGGCGACGGACGGTCGAGCCATGAGTTATGAATGTTCTGCGAAAACAGAACAAAAAAACTGCATAGCCGAACTTATTTCGTGACGGTCAAGCCTCGGAATGTCAATGTAATTCGGGAGATTAGTGGAGGATATTTTCGGTAATAAGAAAAGTATACTGGACCTTAAGCCCTTTTCGGCAAGGATTATTGGGCTCATGTACTAATTCGAGCCATTTATTCTAGACCACTGGGCCTAATCCGTCGTCTGAAATTAATGGTTTTCAGAGGCCGACGGCGCGAGGTGACTGCCAGTCGAAATATTGAAGAAACCCAATTGGTTTTATTTCTATTTGAGCTTAATTATATTTAGAGAAATAGAGTGAATCTTGGCTTTGAAAGAAAAACTAAAGTCTTAATTGTAAAATACCATCTCTAATTTATATTT